AGAAATCTGACATTTTCACCAATTATATTCAAAGAAAACACACAAATGACATTTTCATGATATGTGTTTTCAGTGTTTCCTTGTGGTTGGCTTTCCTCTCCATCAAGCAAATGACAGTTGCAGTCAGTTGTAGTTTGTCATACTAGATCACAGAGGTTCACTCAGCTTCATATTTGTGAAGGCACTGGATAGAAGACTCTAAGGTCTTGAAATCCCAAATTGTCATGACTCCATCCACTCCTACCGGGTAAAATTTCCAATAATCTTGCTTGTCCACCTCATAAATAGGTACTTGAATGATGCTATTCTGGTACAGCATCTCTGAGGCAGTATTGTGGTCCTAGATTGTGACTCTCTTGTCCGTGTTGTGGAAATATTCCATGGCTAACAGGTGCTGGATGCTACGTTTCTGAATGCCTAGTTTGAAGACTAAGGTCAAGCAGCCATGCTCATCTTAAAGAGCACTGGAAAGCAGTCATGGCTGGCAGCTAAAACAACACTGTTTTCTGAGACAAATGAGCAGTGGCAGTAACTCTGTTTTCAGATTGAAAACTGAACACTGTTTAAGCCATCAGCAATGGACACGGTACTGTCATTGCTGACCCAGGCCAGAGAGCTCCCACTGGCAGAAAAGTTGAACCTGAGACCTAGCCTCCAGTGCCACCAAACTCTGACATCAGCTAACCAAAATGGCATACTGGTTGGCTTTTCATCCACTTCATTAATGTATGCAGAAGCACTCTGAATTTGAAGTCACATGATCCTGCTGCCAGCAAAACATCGTTGGGATGCCATTCCAAACTGTGGACATCAAATGAATAGGGGTTTTTTTTTCAGCTTCCATATGAATTGGCTTTTTAATGTGCTTGTTTACCCCTTGTCATTTTCATGCTCAAATAACAAATTGAAATGAATTGTGCTTCACTGTCCAGAGCAAATTTGTTCTCTAGAGGGGATCACTTCACAAAAGTGGCTGTATGATTAATTCTCAAGATCACCAGGGTTAGCTTCCAGACACTATCTTTCTGACTCCTGCAAAGGACAATGTGCTCACGCTTGAGAGCCCAGTCAACACCTGTGATGTGTCCAAGAGTGCTCCCAGAGTTCATGAGGTTTTACTCACTGGCTCCCATTCTTCTTATAGATGTGAACTTCATGGTTATCGTGGCGAAGGGCAATCCGAGCATGATCCCTGTTCCAGGCATGACAAGTGATCTAATAAAAACTGTTGTGGGGATAATATTCTTGGTGTTTCCAAAGGTAAGAATACCGGGTTCAGGGAAATCCTAACAGGCTCAGAGGGGAGAACTTGAAGACTCTGGTCAGTCAACATGAACAGGCTCTGTTCCCTTCTGCCACTTTTGTAGTAGGTTGTATATCCTCCTTTTTTTTGCTTTCTGTAAATACTTTTGCTATATGTTTTGTATTTTCTTATTTATATATATTATCCTTTGCCTAACTATTGAAGTTTTGGGGTATTTTAATTTTTTTCTAGTGGTTACCTTGAAGATAGAGTCTTAATTCTTCTTGAATTGTTATCTATGCATAATATAAATTGATTTCCCCTTATGAAAGGTAAAATTAATATAATTCCTCTTCCTCTAATTGTCTTTGCTTTCAATTCCCCACCAATTAGCCACTAAAATTAGCTATAAAATTATTAACTTTTTTGTTGGCAACTTTAACCTCCTCTCTACCTTCCATCTCTCCATTTTAAAATTACACCATTATTATTGTTATGAATTTTGTTTACATTCTATTTTATAATAATATTAGCCACTGTTGTTTAACTTTAGTTCTACAATTAAATAAAGTTAAATAATCACTACAGTCATGTGCTCCATAACAATCATTTGGTCAAGGACGAACCTCATATACTACAGTGGTCCCATAAAATTAGTACCATATAGCTAAGGTGTGTAGTAGGCTATACCATCTAGGTTTATGTAGGTACACTCTATGATGTTCACATAATAATGAAATAGTCTAACGACGCATTTCTCAGACCATATCCTTGTTGTTAAGCGACTCATGACTGTACACGTCCTTTGACCATGGCCTCTCCATGCATCTTTTCATTGCTTAGACATCATCCTGTAGTAGACTTTTTTGTAAGGGCTCATGAAGGTCTGTGTTTCATTTATGGTATTTTATAATGCATATAGAACCATTTATTCATAACTTATGTGTCTTAATTTACGTACATTCAAGCCTTGAATTCTGTAAAATTAGTTTGTTTCTGGTTTTTAATTCAAAATCTTTTTTATTAGGAAAGAATAGTATCTGTATTTTTTTGTGAAAAATGAGAAACAACATAAATGTAAAAATGTTAGGTATAAAGCAATTATCCATGAATCTGCAGTTACATCATAAAATGCCAACTACTTAAGGGTTCTAACTGTATAAGTGCCCGATGTATGAGGTCTTTACTGTTACTGTTATACTGCTACTCCAGTTAAGAATTCTTGCAACAAAGAAATTACATTAATATCCAAAGCTCTCCAACACATTGTCATCTTTCCTTTGTCTTCAGAGAACAGCTCACATACAGTCACTAATACCTTTATATAGATGAATTTTGTCTATTACTTTGGCTTGAGATCCACCCGCTACGCTCCAGCTCGACATTTCTAACTGCTCATTGAATAGTTAGCATGGATATCCCTGTAGCAACTCAAACTCATTTTCCTTTCCTCTCAAACCAGGTATTCTCCACGAGAGCTATTTTCAATACTCTATAGTCATCCTTGACATCTATTTCCTATGCCTTCCAAGCCCTGTTCCCCTAATGTTCCTAATCCTATCAGTTCTAGAGTTTCCCATGGTAACTCCTTCTTTGCCCCTTCTCATTTTCATTGTAGTTATCCTATTTCAGGCCCTCATTTGCTCTACTGCAACAGCTTCTTGAACATCTTCCTCCTTCACTGATAGATTAAGCATTATTGGAAAATAATCTTCCTAAAACATGTTTCAAGCAACCCAGGGTATATTTTATACTCAAGTTTTATGTTGGAAGAATTTACATATATACAGACATTTATCCTCTTTCAGAAGCCTTATGATTTTTTTCTGGAAATTTGTAGGAAATAAGTTTTAAAAATGAAATTACATTGACAACATACTTAGAAATAGAGATTTAATGAAATTTTACTGTGAATTCTTTTAAGTGCAAAATGTTCTTTAGTAAACTGACAAACACTTGGCTATTTTATCTTCTGTATATATCTGAGTTTTCATAATTCATCTTTGCTTAAGGTATGCATGAAAACAGGGAGAATGAAGCAATTGGAATGGAGATAATTGAAGACTTTGAGTGACTGACATTGGTAGAAAATTTTAAAAATACCTTTATTAATAACAACCATACTTAACTGACCTCCAGATTAGAGTTATAACTAAGAGCTTTCTTTGATACTCCTAATAAATATAGAAGTAGGCTGGGAATCTTCTTTCTTTTTTATTTTTCTTTTTTCAACATTCCAGGAAAGAAATGATGATATATGGAAATTATGTGAATAAATATCAGAATGCATATTTTTTTAGAGAAAAGTGTTATCATTCTTTAAATAATCTTCATTTGACATTTGTCAGAGTACATGCTATACCAAAATGATAGGTAGCTATTAGGTTATTAGCTTTGAAACAATCTATACTTGATTTAAATTCAGCTTTGCTATTAGTTGTGTGATCTTAGGCAAATTTGAATTTTTCATAGCCTTAATTTATTCATTTGTAAATTGCGAACAGTATCACCTACTTTATCTCAAATAATATGTACAAATCATATAGCACAGTGTCTGACACATAGTAGAAGGTCAATAAATGAAATTATAATGTTGATTCTTCCTTTGATGTCAATTACACTGGTAAAATACTAATTAACTTCAGACAATTTCTTTAATATTGAACTAATGATTATACCCAATATGGTAGTGGCTTTGCATTTAAAAAACACTGTGATTATTTAATTTAATCAAATTTATATAAAAGATTATATGTCATTAGATTTTAAAAGTAATAAACAATTTATTGTCTAACAGTTATTTAATTTAGATACAATGAGATGAGGTATGTGAATATGCTCCATAAACTTTGGGTACCATTTCTGTGACCTAGGTTGAAATCTTAATCCTACTTTTTATTAAAAACATAGCCTCAGTTTCTGCTCTGGAAAAAAAATGGTTGGGAATAGTGACAACAACTTTAAAGCGTTGCTAACAAAATCAAATAAAATAATGTATGTGAAACAGCTTTGTAAACTCTAAAGAATAATGCAACGACTAATTATTGTATTTTTGTTATTTTAACCATGACATTCATGGGATTTAATCCTATTGCTTTAAGTCAGAGTAAAGCAGATGAAAATAAAGGTATATCAATTAAATTTCAAAAAAGAAAAGCCATGCTGGAACAAGCAGATAAAAGTTCTGAAAGAAAAATTTATGAAAGCCTATTAATAAAGCCTTATTTATTTCAGAGCTGGAGTTATGAATAAGCCTGTGACCACCACAAAAAATAAATTAAAAGTGAATAATTTTCTATAACTTCCCTAAAATAAAAAAAAAATCCAGAGCTCTATTCTTTTATGTATCAGACTTTTTTCCTAAATAGCATTAATTCTACATGATACTAATGTATAAAACAGGAAAAATAATTATAGAAATAAAAGATGCTCATTTACATGATTATAGTTACAAAGGGTCCATATGTGTGACTATTCAATGTTTAAAAACATTTTCATGATAAAAAGAAAACAAATAAGACATTATATACCTTGGTGTGTGATGATTTATAAAACATAATTTTGTAAAACAATTCTTAACAAACAAAATCTTGAATGCTGCCAACAGAACTGTATGGTGATTTTTAAGAAAGCCTTTTTGGAAAGCTATCAAACACTGCCATCTAGGAAACTTGTGTTATTCATGGACTGGTTGGTCAAAACGTTCAGCCAAATGAATGTAAAAAAACTTAAAATTGTTGGCTTTTGCCTACCGTACCAAGATCAGCCTTAAGATCTGTTGGCAGACTTAACTTTCTTGATCCTTTAACTGAAACAACAGAAAAAGGAAAAAGGCAGTTGTTAATTATATAAAATTAAAGAGGAGTGTGGGTAACAGTATGTCTTACAGTATAATTATTAAAATCCTGATGAACATTACATTCAGTGAGCATGTATGGAAGTGGAAATATTGTTCAGTGTTAGTTCATTGCCATTCAGTAGTAAATATTTAATAGGCAAACAGAAACATGAGAAAAGCAATTGTTCTTACAGTAAGTAATTAAGTGTATCTTTGCATTGTTTTTTTCACATGTGGTATGAGAAGTGATTTCTTATTTAATTTGAAAAGAATCAAAAATCAATTTCAGATGAATCTAATAGGTAAAGAAATATTGCAACAAATGTATAAGCTCATATCATAAATAACAATAAGGGTAAAAACTGAAGAACTCTGTCAACATTTTTTGAAATAGAAAGAAAATTCTATTATAGATGTATATGATATATTCAAGGAAACCTTACCATGCCTATTGCAGATGAAATGACTTTAGCATTGAATACTACAATGTTAAATTCAGTAGATAAGAACATCTTGAAAATACAAAATATTTGTAAATGAATTTAGTTATATTATTATAAATCAAGCTACCAGAAAAATGTTTGAATAAACCAAGAAAACTTCTACAATTTATTGAAAAACTTTCCTCATTATTTATGTTAAAAATTTTACATTGAGCCTCTCGTAAAATATTTAACTGGAATGCATGTTATCACAGAAAGAAATGCATTAGGGGAGATAACATTAGAAATCTTTTCTGTCAATCAATACTTCATTAAGACTCAAATTGGTACTACCAACTAACTTATACCTTCTAATGAGTGATTTTCTTTACAACTAGGAAAGTTATATTAAAATAAAGATGCAGGATGATAGAATAGAAATAATATTAAACTTAAAGTCAGAAAACATGGCTCACATATTTCTGAATTTGTTGTTAGTGCCGTTGGGTTGATTCTGACTTCTAACGACCCCGTGTACAGCAGACAAGAATCCTGTCCGGCCTTTTTGCACCTTCTGGTGCTATATCAGATAACGCTCCTGCTGCTACTCATAGGGTTTTCATGGCCAGTGTTTTTCTGAGTGGGTGGCCAGTTCCTTCTTCCTGGTCTGTCCTAGTCTGGAAACTCCACTGAAACCTGTCCACCACGGGTGACCCTCCTGGTATTTGAAACGCTGGTGCCATAGCTTTCAGCATCACAGCAACACAAAGCAGCCACAGTATGACAACCAAGACATGGGTGGTGTGGTTCTCTGACTGGGAAACTAACCTGGGCCATAGTGGTGAGAGTGCTGTATCTTAACCACTAGACCACTAGGGCTGGCTTTTGCAATTGTCACCATTTAGTTATATGACTTTGGAAAAAATCCCTTCATCAATTTGCAGCTTAATTTTGTCTGTCAAATAATATTCTTGATACTATCTCTAGTGTTTCAGCTGGCATTTGATTGGATTATATAGTTGTATAAAACTTCAATATAATATAAACCTAAATTTACTTTTGTGTGTGTGAGGAAAATTAGTCCTGAGTTAACATCTGTTGCCAATCCTCCTCTTTTTCGTGAGGAAGATTGGCTCTGAGCTAACATGTGTACCCATCTTCCTCTATTTTATATGTGGGATGTCTGCCACAGCATGGCTTGACAAGGAGTGCATATGTCTGTGCCCGGGATGTGAACCTGCAAACCCAGGGTCTCCAAAGCGGAGCGCGCAAACTTAACCGCTATGCCACTAGGTCGGGCCCCTAAATGTACTTTTTGTGTCATGAAACATTACTTGTCTTCTGATTTTTCTCTAGCCATTTAATAATTAAAGCCATTCTTAACTCACAAGTCATACCAACATAGGTGGCAAGCTAGATTTGGCCTGTGGGCTGTAGTTTTCTGACTACAATATGCCATGCTAAACTACTTAGCAAAGGAAACCTAAGAATTATCATTCTAATAAAAATAATAGCAGCAAGCAGTTGTCTCTATGAAAAGACATTAAAAAATAATTCTATTAAGGGGAAATCAAATTTTAGTAATTTGGGTTTAGCGTTAGTAGCACAAACAAAAAGATGTTATTTATATCAGAATATGGCAAACATATATGTAATAATTATGCTTCAGAAGAGGTTGAAAATAGAGCATATTTTGTAAATTGATAATTCAGATGAACTGAGGGAGTGGTCCTATTTAAATAATCTTTTATTTAACTTTTTAAATAGGAATTAATTTTCTATGATGTAAGGATTTGTTTCATAATTTATCTTTTTGATTGTTTGTATTTTGTTTTTAAATAATAGGGTATTTCAACACATCTATATAATATCAATTACTTAAAAAACAGATTACAAAAATGCTTTCAAAAAGAGGGAAAACAGTCGCTGCCTATTGGTCAATAAGCCCAGATGCATACAGCAGGACGATGACCACAATGTCAGATGTCCTGCAACTCCCCAACATTCTCTCCGATGGAAAATTCACCTCCTATATTCTAGTACCTACTTGCTCTGGCTATCAAATCTACTCCAGTTTTTGGATCCCCCCTCCACTTTAACATGTACCTTTTTGGCTTTCTGTAGACTTCTTCCCACCTGAAAACTGGGAGTCCCCTCACAAACCCCATACTAATTGTGTGGGATTAACTAGGGAACTTCTTTAATAACAATGTTAATAACAGGCCCCTGTTATTTATGCACAGAATAATCCTCATCCTTGCTTGTCCAACTTGTAAACTCCTACTCATCCTTCAAAACAACTCAAAAATTACCTCCTTTCTGAAGGCAGCCTCAAGCTTAAGGCTTCATCTGATGCCATTATCTTAACTTTCATAACACCTTGTGCACATCTCCTTTATAACACTTACATTTTATTTTGCTGGATTTTTTTACTCTACTACCCACCAACATCCTGAAACTTTGAGTTTTCCAAAGGTAGGGATTGTATTCCCAATACCTAATGAAGAATTGGCATAGAGTAGGTGTATGATACGTGTTTGCTGAATGAATGTTGGAAAAACAGTAGTCAGAAGGTAGGAGTGAACCCTCTTTGAAGAGGGCTAAGCAGACTGAGAAAGTATGTTCAAGCGTTAGAGGAAAATGGTACATATTAACATTTGAGGAATTTGGGTTGGAAGATGAATAAGGCAAGAGGGAATAAGGCAAGTAGTCCTGAAAATGTATAGAATGAAAACAATACGTATTAATCTTTGTAATGTGTCCCTGGAAATGCAGCTCTCTGAATTTCTTCATTTTTACTGTTATCTAAACTAAAGCATACACACCACTGTCGTTTCATATTGTTAGCCAAAGGGCAGAAAATGAGAAGCAGAAACTTCTCACTACTCACTGGCTTAGCACACTGCACAGAGAAGAGAGATGGAGAATCTTGGCTCAAAGGATTCTTAGATGTGATCTAGTTCAGTATCCTAGTCAATGCATGCAAGTATTTCTCCTACAACATTCTCAACGTCCTACTTGTTTGAATAGTTCCACAACAGAAACTTTCAAAGGTATAACAAAATGGCAATTTTGGGTAGCTATAATTTCTACAAAACTTCGTTATATTTGAGCTCAAACTACTTTCATTTACCATTTACTAATTTGTCCTAGTTCTATCCTCTGGAGCAATAAAGAGTAACTGATTCTTACTCTCTCACATGCCAGATTTTAAAGCATCTGAAGATACTTAGGGGCCACCTCCAGATACTCTTAGTAGATCAGGAGGAATTTGTATTTTCAAAAGTGTTGTAGGTAATACTGATGCCAAGAGGTTGGTAGGTCATATTTTAGGAAATAATGTTTTATGGTTTTATGAATATTAATCAACCTATGGGACTTTCACTCAGGACCCTTCCACAAAAAGTACTTCCTGATATGCATCTCTGATTTTCCATACAAAAGATGCCATATTGTCCTTAAGTTGTTAAATTAGATATAGACATCCCTTTGCTGAGCCTTTTAAGGTCATTATGATATTTTTTAAGTTAACAGGTAACTTTTTGGTTCCTTCTTTTTGAGTAGTTATACAAATATTTCATCATATTTTTGATCTTCCATCTGCTAGTGAGGAATAAAAGGTGGTAGTTACAAGGATGGTAATGCCCCTATTTGAAGAGGCTCGATGCCTTTTTCTTCCCTCTGTAAAGCTCCACAAAGACTTTTGCTTTTCTCCAAAGCGGGTTTTCTGGTATTTGAACTGAAGTCCAGGGATCAAAAACACAAGTGAGCTAGATTCAGCTGAGTGACCCTGAGCTAGTTACTTAATCTCAGGATGATTGTTTCCCTTTCTCTGCAAAATGAGGATAATAATAACCTCTACTTAATAGGGATCTTGTCAGCATTAAGGGAATATGTGTAAAGCACTTAGCATGGTATGGTATACAACAAGTTTTCAATATTAGCTATTATTTTCAGTAATAAACTTAGTTGGCAAGAAAAGATTGTCATTCTTCAAAAATGACTTATCTGGGCAACATGTCCTACTTAAAATCTAGTGCCTAGCACACTCAATAAAGCCTCCAATTGTATATAGTACTATTATTTCTTTGCCCTGCACAATAGTACTTCCTAAGAGCTCACTGTCTCTTCAAGAGTGACATCACACACTTGATTCACAATGAGCTTATCTCCCATAAAAATCTCTTCAAATCATGTTGTGCATCCTCACATAGAATAGCATCTTTAATCCTTCACACTTTGAAGAACTGCCTGCCTTGGCTCACAGACAGTAACACAGCAAATAGTACCATAGGTAATACTGCTGCAGGGCGTGGAATATTGCTGCACCAAGCATTAGACTTACAACAGTTTGATTTCTTATAATCCTAGTCCTATTATATTCTGGGCAAACTGTCAGAAAATTCTTCTTGTTACTTTAACATGTCATGGCATACATTTTTGAAAATAAAAACAAAAGAAAGAAATTCATAACTGTAAACTAAAAAGGTGAATTTTATTCTACATAAATGATATCAGTAAATCTAGTTAAAAAAAAAGAAAATTCAAAAGAAAGCATCCCCACAGATAGGGTTAATCACTTACCTAGAAATTGTTAGTAGGATGGCATAAGAGATCAAAATGATGCAAATGAATGAAAAGATTGGCTGAATGCAAAATACACATTAATATTTATCTATAAATTCAGGCCTAAGGATCAGGTGATCGCCAAGCCCTACAGTAGCACCAGATTATAAACCTTTGCAAGACTATTCATCTTTACTCATAGATTTTCTGCCTCCCAAATTCAGGTTCAGTTACAGTAATGAGGCAGGGTAGTCTGGTGGCTTACCATAGTTTATGCCAGAATGAAGTCATATGCTCAGCCCTAAATATGAACAGAACTTCAGGCATTACAACAGAATTTTGCCTAGAGGGTTTCACATCTCTTGATTGTATTAATTCCTTCAACCACCTGTATATCCATATGCCTTTTTCCTAACTCCTATTTCAATTCAAAGTCAATGGATAATGCAGTTTGGCTCATCAGAGGACTGTTGTATTGGCTTCAAATAAGTCTCAGTTAGATCCCTGGTTCCACATTTGAATCAAAATTTTAGGAACAGAGTGAACCCTGAGTCAGTCTGAATATGGCTACTACTTTAATGGGAAATAACATAAACAGCTAGGTTAGAAGTTTCTAATTCAAAGCTTCTGATTAGTTGTTTCTTGATTAGAAACTGGATTGACTTTTGATTTCCAATGAAGGATTTCTACTTTGTTATGGCTAAGCTAAAACTAATATTTGGAAATTTAGAAGGGTCAAGGAAACCAAGGTCAGTCTATTTAGGCCACGGATGTTCATTATTGCTTTTATGGTAGCCAGTACAATATATTATTGAGAATCTATATTGTGGACATTAGCCCAAAGTTAAGGTTAAGAAACTTGGCTAAAGTTATAACGGTAGAAATTCACAGGTTAACATCACATTTCTCTGACTCCAAAGCTATGTCTTTTCCACTAAGCAACACAATCTTCCTGATATAGAAGATACCACTTGTGTGACCTGGATATCTTCTATAAAATAAATAAATCTAACACTAAATTAAAATAAGTTTAGATTAAAATGTTTGTAAAGTTTATTTATCTATCTATTGATTAATTAACCAATTGGTGGGAATACAATAATGAATTTCATTTGTCTCTATCTTCCCTAAGCCAGAAACTAAGATAGGACACAAACATCTAGTATGTATATAGGCACAGTTAAAAAAAAACACATACACAAACATTTTGGGGTTACCATGCCATGGTGGAGCCCTGAAAGTCCTATATGCCTCTAATTTTATTGCCATTTTTTTTTCTAGACGTGGCTATGGCAAAGAGGTATCTTTATCAGAATTTGCCCCAGCATAAAAATGTTTAATGTTGTAACTACTTTTCTTGCTACCTTAAAATATGTATTATATTTCTATCTAGATGATGTTAATGAATTAGTGACTTTTTATTAGTGTCATATGAGTAAGTGTTAAATGATTATGAGACTTTATTTCTGTTCTTGTCTATCTTGAATTATAAACTTCCCGAGAGAATTAGGTTCTTCCACACACTTTTTTTTTAAGCACACAATAGGAGGCCAAATAACTGGGGTCAGAGGACCTTGAAGTCTGAAGATTTGGGTTGGTTCAGACTAAGCCATTTACTAGCTGAGTAGCCTTGGGCAGCTTAGAGAATTGTTTTTCTTAGCCATAATTTCTCCATCCATATAAAAGACAGCAATACCAACCTTACAGGGTTGCTGTAGGGTTACATAAGATAATACACATGAAAAATATCTTGTTTGCTTTAAAGTATTATATCATTGGTGATTAAAATTTTTAGCAAACAAGCCTTAATAAATTCACAATGTGGTGATAATTTGTTGATTTTATGAACTATAAAAACTAAAAGTTATTTTCAAAGCCAGTTTTTCCTGGAACTTAAATGGTAAACTGTATTTCTGATGTTTCATGCACAGTATATCAAGTTCTTTTGAATTTCTTTGTTAAAACATTGTCTCCTCAGAACTCAGCAACTTCTCACTGCTCAGATGTCATATAATTTTACTTGTGACTAGTTTTTGTAATTCTCATATTTCTTTTTCTCATTTTATTAATGAAAACCAGGGAAAAAGCATAGGCTTTACAACCAAATATAACTAAGTTGAAATTCCAGCCCTACTTAAATACTCTGAGCTTCAGTTTTCTCCTCAGAAAAAAGGCCTATCACAGGGGTGTTGTATTATGTAAGAAAAAAAGAAACTACTGTCTGGAAAATTGTGGGTTACAATTATCTTTAGTTTCCTTGGTTATTGACTTTATTTAGGGTCTAAAACATTGGTAATTCATGCTTCTTAAAGTTGTAAATCTGGTGACAACTATTTTGGGATGAATGCCTAATTTAAGGAAGCTGTACAACCTGTGTTTGATTCTGATTTGGTCCCTCTGAACAGCAGCAAATATCAAGGACTCTGCATAAAATTTAGGTTATAGCACCTTCCTTTCTGCTCACTATTTTTGAGAGAGAACATTGCCCCTTTGAGGCAATTTTTTGGTGGAGTTTCCATGATCATCATAGTTATTTCTGATTATAGAAAGTATTTAATTGTGTTATGAAGAATTATGGGGAATTTTTATAAAACCACTCTTAGTTTTCGGCTTGTAAGTTCTCCCTGAATTCTCTGTTGGCCGTTCTATATTTTCTTATAGGCCTGAGGAAATTATTCAGGTTTTGAGTAGAAAAATAACACTATCAAAATCCGATGGAATATTTCAAAATCTTTCACAAAAGCCTTAGGAATTCCTGCTTTATATCTCATGAAGTCAGTGTCTATGGTTTTAACCATTGCTTCAGGGAAATTTCCCTTTATTCACCATGAGGGACCTGTGTTTTCAGCACAAAAATAATAAAACTTTTGAGACAAGTTGCGAAGTCTAGAAAATTATGGAGATGTGAATAACTTGTTTGTTCATAAAAGAGATTTTCACTTTCACCTGGCAAGTGATGTACTTGATTCCTCTGTCTCACAGCTGGTATTTCATTCCTATAAAAGCCTGGTGCTGCCTCGGGAGTTCTGGTAGCAAGTCCTAAAGGAAGGGAATAAAAAACTATTGGCATGTAATTTCTTAGACCAAGTAAACCAAGAATTTTTACCTTAGAGGTGAATTTCATGTAAACTATTTGGAAGGGTCTCTATTTTGTGCCTTTATCTGAGTATTTTGGTACTTCCCCAACAGAGGACTGTTTGGAGGGAAGAATCTTTCTTCTTTGGAGGATGCAGTGGGGTTCTAGCACATAGAATCACACAGAAGGAGCATTCAAGCTAGGCCATAAGACCCAGTTCTAACCCAAGTTTGAGAACAACAGAGCCAGTTAGTTCTTTGTGAGTATTTAGTGATGTTAGCCTCTATGATATTTTTATAAAGATATATTTACTAAAGATATCTAAATAAATAAATTGTAATAAAGACAAATATTTCTATCATGCTAGCCTTCACTTGAACTCGATAGCATAATGTGTGTTGTATATTGTGGACAGTAAGAATCATGAGGATGGATGGCTGTATAGGTACCAGCAGTACTGGAGACTGATGCTAGCCTAGAAAGAGATGTTCATCTGAGAAAGTGATATTTTTTCTTTTTGGTTAGGAAGATTCATCTTGAGTTAACATCTATTGCCAATCCACCTCTTTTTTTCTTTTTTGTTTGCGGAAGATTAGCTGTGAGCTAACATCTGTGCCAGTCTTCCTCTATTTTGTATGTAGATCATCACCACAGCATGGCTGACAAGTGGTGTGGTCTGCGCCCAGGATTGGAACCCGCCAACCCAGGCCACTGAAGTGGAGCGTGCTGAACATAACCACTACACCATGGGGTCGGCCCCATGAGCAAGTGATTTTTAAAGGCACACCTTCAAGGAGGACAAATTAGAAAAATACACACTTTGTAGGTAGATATAACCCTGCAGTTGAAGGCTTGGTTAGTTTTCAACTCTTAGTCCAGAGAAAAAGGGGCTCTTTCCTTTAGAGGATTGCAGTTCTGTGCCAGGTAAGTGGAGCTAGGTCTGACTGTTAGCTCCTGCTCACCCCTTTGGGAGGTGTTTATGCAGTACACAAATTGCACAACCTTACCTGGTGAGTGAAAAAGGTTATGCAGCTTCAAGAAAAAACAACTAACAATTTGTAAAGTTATTAGTTTAATGTTGGTTTCTGCAGATAGACTGTCACATTTGGCATGGAGTATGTTTATTTTGTTCACTAGTCTATTCTCATTGGATAACATAATATCTACCTAACTGTAGATACTGAAAATTATTTGTTGAATAGTTCAGTGAATGAATAGATAATATGAAATGATTGTTTTATCCAGGAAGCTAAGAACATCAGCATTCTAGTTGGCTCATTGGGGTTCTTTCAGCTCACAATTCCTACTCTGGTCTCTCTCGCTATCCTCAAGGAAATATTTAACAGTTTAAAATTTCACTCTATTTTTCCTGTATTTATTGGGCTATTAGAGGGAGTTTCAGATCCATATAGAAAATCAGAGTTATAAAACGCTTACTGGTCTCTGGCTTTCTTAAGTTCTAACCTCTCTTACTCAGAGATATTTGTGTCAATGTTTTAATCTGTTTTTAGCAGACTTTAAAGGGGTGAGGGTCTGAGATCCCAAAATAAATACTGAGAAGGGAAATAACTACTGAAAAAAGAATATCAAAGAAAATTCACAGAGCCATGGTTCCCAAGTGCTCCAGAGACCAGAAGCATCAACTGGGAACTTGCTAGAAATGCAGAATCTCAGGCCACATTCTAGACTAACTGAATTAAAATCTCTGGCACTAGCAATCTGTTTCAACAAACTCTTCACATGATTCTGATACATTCTTATGTTCAAGAATCACTGTACTAAGTGAAAAAAAAAAGAGAGGGCAAGAATAGTATTGGTTCTTAAATGCTACATATAAAAAAAAGGGGAGATAAAAACAGATAAAAACGTAATAATTGCCATTATTAATCAGACCTAATGAACTACTTCTGAGTGTATAAATCAAAGTGACTTGTTAGAAGGCATGACTACATTTCTTAAGTTTTCAAAAGTTTTAATGTATTACAAATATTCTAGTTTCTCTTATTTACACATATTGGTTCTTTCATTCATAAGTTATCTAAACATTTTAATTGTTGTGTTTTCATTCTTTTCCTCCTCTAGAGATAATAAGCTTCATGAGTTTTGTAAACTATCATTAAAGTCTTAAATTTGCTTTTTTTCATAGTTACATTTTAGTTTTATGAGATCGGGCTAAGAAGTCTGCATTTATCCTAACTATACTCTTTCTGATAATCTAGATTGCACGTAGCAATTCCTAAAACAAAAGCAAGAGATTGAAGAATGTGTTTTATGTACATGTATTCTGGAAATAGCATCGGGCAGATTCTCCTTTGTGGGCTTAAAAAGATCCCTTAATACGGCACAGTTACTTATTTTTATTTTTCATGGGAAATGAATGGAATGAGCAAATATTATTTCCAGTATTCTTAAGTAAGATAAAATATGTTGGTACTTTTCCTAGAAAGATAAATTTCACATCTTTTAACAAATATATAATGATGAAAAAGTTGTTATGTTAAAAAAAAATCTCTCATTCCTTGTTATGATTATCTGTAATTTAAAGTTGCTACTATAAAAGAGTGGGATGTGCCCCTCAAACCAATCTCAAGGCACTGAAGTGATAAATGAATCTTATCACAGTTAGTCATTTCTGTTCCAAGTAACATAATACAAAGGTAGTCCAAACCTTCCTGCTTTGAAGCATGACTGCATGCAAAGTCCTCTGAGTCTGCCTTGCAAAAAACCAAAACAAAAGAGTGTGGTGTTGGTGTTTCCAGATCTGCTCTAACATTAATGAAAGAAGCAACATCATAGGCAGAGAGCTAAAAGCAAGATGTCTACTAAAAACCTCCAGCAATTATCATAATTAATTATGAAATATTGAAAGACTTATCCCTGAGATTGGGAACAAGGAAAAAGATGTCTGCTAACACCACATCTATTCAACATTGTACTGGAGGTCCTAGCTAGTTTCTTCCTTTAGAAAGAAGAAATAGAACTGTCATTTTAACAGGGGGCATAATTGGATTAAGAGGCAATCCAAAAGAATTTACAAATTATTGGAATTAAATAAATTTATCAAATTTTCTGGATATAAGGTCAATTTTAAAAAATTAATTGTATTGTATATTCTAGACACAGACAATAAGAAAAAGAAATTTTAAAACTTACAACATAAAAAAACATTAAATACAAAGGAATAAATCTAATGAAAGATGTACAAGACTCCTACAAAGAAAGCTAAAAATATTATTGAGAGAAAGTAAAGAAGACATATATAAATGAAGAGATATTAAATGGAAAAATCAATATTGTTGAATTTTTTTTTTTTTGGAGGAAGATTAGCCCTGAGCTAACTGCTGCCAATCCTCTTCTTTTTGCTGAGGAAGGCTGGACCTGAGCTAACATCTGTGCCCATCTTTCTCTGCTTTATATGTGGGATGCCTACCACAGCATGGTGTGCCAAGCGGCACCATGTCCACACCTGGGATCTGAACCGGTGAAGCCAGGGCTGCCGAAGTGGAATGTGTGCACTTAACTGCTGTGCCACAGGCTGGCCCCAGTTGACTATGTTAACCTGCCTAATTGATATATAGATCCAATGAAACTGCAATCATTATCTAAACACATTTGTTTGTGGGCAAACTGAAAAAATCCTTTCTAAAAGTTATATGGAGACACAAAAGACCTAGAATAGCTATAACATTCTTTAAAAAGAACCACAAAAAGAAAATTGGAGAACTCACACTATCAGCAATACTATAAAGGTAGAGCAATTAAAACAGTGTGGAATTGGATAAATGATAAGCATGCCAATGAAATAGACCATGAAGTCTAGAAACACACACATACATACATGTTAAAGTACATTAATTTGTGGCAAAAGTACCACTTTAGTGCAGTGTGAGAAATGACAGTTTTCCCATAAATGGTGCTTATCAACTGGATACCTAAAATGGAACGAATGAACCTTGACTCCTTTCTTACATTATACACAGAAATATATTCCAAATGGAACTTGAACTTAAATGTGAAAGGTAAAACAACAAGTCTTCTAGAAGATAATATAGAAAAATAGCTTCAGGACCTTGGGGTGGACAAATACTTTTTTTTAAAACAAAACACAAAGCACTAGCAATAAAAGATAATATTGATAAATTGAGTTACATTACCATTAAAAACTTCTGTTTATCAAAAGACCACCTTTAAGAGAGTAGAAGTCAGGCCACAGAATGGGAAAAGATATTTTGCACTATATACATCCAACAAAAGACTTCCATGTATATATGTATTTATCTATCTAGGTACATACACAGAATTCCTATATATCAGAAGAAAAATTGGCAACACAATAACAATGAATAAAAGTCTTGAATATCTTATAAAAGAGGATATCAAAAAGAGTTAAGAAACATAAAAGAAGCTAATAAAAATTATTAGACATCAGGGATATGCAATTCAATTTAATTCCATTAGCATTACGTACACACCAGAATGATTAAAATTTTTTTTAAAAATTAAACATTGGCAAGCATGTGGAACAAAGGGAACTTTCATACACTGTTAATGGAAGTAAAATTGGTGCAACCACTTTAGAAAACTCAGTAGTATTTACTGAAGCTGAACATATACATACCCTATTACCCCAAAATTCCACTCCTAGATACATGTACAACAGAAGTGAGCTTTCATTTGCATTAAAAATTGTAAAGATTGGTCAGAATGGCTTTATGTATAATAGCTCCAAACTGAAAATCATCTAAATGTTCAACAATAAACTGCATAAATAAATTGAAGTATATTCATATAATAGAATATTATATAACAGTGAAAAATCACTCAGCAACATAGATGAATATCATATACATAACGTTGAGCAAAATAAGCAAGAAACAAAAGAAGTAAATATTGCATGATTCTATTCACATAAGAATCTAAAACCTACAAACCTAATCTATGGTGATAGAAGTCAGAATAGTAGGTACTTTTGTAGGGGTTAGTGGCTGAGAGGGGCATGAGAGAGGTTTCTGGGGTTTAGAAACATTCTATATCTTTATCTGGGTGTTGTTTACATGGTGTATTCATTTGTAAAAACTAGTCTATCTGAACTCTTAAGATTTATGCACTTTGATATTTATATATTATCCCATAGTTAAAAATGTTTACCTCAAAAGAGGTAAGGCCAAGGTACACAAAAAAATTCCAAATAAAAAAAGCAAGAGTTGTAGTATTAATAGTAAACAAGGTAGAATTCAGGTGAAGAACACATAATATGAAATGAACAATGGTGATTAATGGTAAAGGATGTAGTTTTTGTGAATATATTTCTGAATAATCTACACATGAATATTCTTAAAATAAAAACACAGCAGATACAAGGAAAAATAGACAAAAACATACTAGTATGATTTTTAAATTTGCCTTTTTTCCATCCTTGACAAGTCAAGTAATCAAAATACATTCATGCACCGCATAACGATGTTTCGTTCAAGGATGGACTGCATACTATACGATGGTGGTCCCATAACATTACTATCATATAGCCTAGGTGTGTAGTAGGCTATACCATCTGGGTTTGTCTAAGTACACTCTGTGATGTTTGCACAACGACGCATTTATCAGAACATATCCCTGCCATTAAGTGACACGTGACTGTATAAGTAAGGATATGAAGGATTTAGATAACAGAATTAATAAGGTAACACAAAACTACTTAATGCTACATATTTACATTAAATAACTCTTGGGTCAAAGAAATATAAACAAATCATCTACTATATAGAAAATACTCAATGCAATCACAATTTATCAAAAGCTGTACATTTAATGCAGAGTTCAAAGGGAAATTCATCCTTATTAACTTGTATCACCATGTAAGAAATAATAAATATAAATAAATTAAGCATCTACCACAAAAAAGTTGAAAATGGAAAAATAAAATAAAAGGAAAGCAGAAGAGGGAACTAATAAAGATAAAAGCAGAAAGCGATAAGTTAGAAAACAAAAAACTCAGTAAAACCTTTGTTTGGGTTTAAATAAATAGCAGAATAGATTGACTATTAGCTAGTCTAATTAAAGAAAGAAAGAATTTCAATCTTTGCATATGTTACATTATACATTGTTAGAAAATTTCCATAATGAAAATATTTTTCTTTATAGGAAAGTAAAAATATACAAAATAAGTAATCATAAGAGGTAATTGACTTGACAAGGGAATTCTACCAAAACTTTAAAAAGTAGATAATCCCAATAGTATTTAAATTCTTGGGCATAAAGAAAGAAGTCTTTAGAAGATCAACATCTGATTACAAAAAACTGCTCTAAGGTAGAGATACTGCACCACAAAGTTAAAAGATAAGTGAGAAAAATATTTGGATCTCATGTCACAAAGGGATAATCCTCTTAATTTATGGAGAGGTAATACAAATTGATATGAAAATGACAAACAACGCTATAAAAAATTGGTAAAGTATAGGAATAGATGAGTTACAGAAAAAATATTTAAACATGAGTTACAGCTTAAACATATTAAAAACTATTCAACATCACTCACAATAGGTGAGATGTAAATTGAAACTATATTGACATATCCTTTTTACTTAATAGACTCACAAAGGAAAAAAAATTTGAGAAGCAATATTTGCATGTATTGTTGGAAGGAGAGAAAATTGTTGCAAACTCTAAGGGGAACAATTTGGGAGTATCTATAAAGATTAGACAGTCATACACGCTTTGATCTAGCAACTCTAATTTTAGGAATTTATCCCATAGATATACCTGTACACATTTGAAATGAGAAATGTACAAGGTTTAGTCACTGCAGTATTGTTTGACATAGCAGAAGATTGGTACCAAACTAAGTGTCCTTGAATTGGTGAAATTATTAAATTATACTACTATTAAATTACTATGTAATTCGATATCATATAACTATAAATAAGAATGAGGAAATACTTCATGTAATGTAATGGAAAGACAAGATACACAGTAAAGCGAAACAAGCAAAGTATAGTGAAATGAATATACTTTGAAATATACTATCTCTATAAAAAAAGAATATATGCATATTTGGTTTGTTTACAAACAAATGGAAGGATAAAAAAGAAACATAATAATGATTATAATTCAAGAGAATAGAAACAATGTATGGCGAAGGATGGTAGGGAGATTTTTTCGTTCTTTTTTTGATGTTTGAACCATATAAATATATTACTATTCAAATTCAGATTATAGACGAGAATTTAAAGTGAGGTTAGGTTATTTAAATTTGATATAGGATACCTAATTATATTTTATATTAAAGATTCTGACATGGGAAAATATGATCAAAGTAGTATTTTAAGAAGATTAATTTTGCAACATGATATGCAAAATGAATTGTAAGAGGGAGAGAAAGAAAGCAGAGACACCTGTTAGGACATTTTTGGGATACTCTAGATATGGGGTAATAAATACCTAAATTAAAATGGTGCCAATGGGAATGCAAAACAAAGGGTAAATATATAAGACTGTGTTTAAAATAAAAACAGTAAAATAAGGATTAAATAGATATGATTAAAACAAAAATTTACACAGGACACTAGGTTCTACTTAGCCTACATTTCTGAAGACTAAGGATAAACAACTAATAACTCTTAAAAGATGGAGTAAACTGAAGAAATGTCACATTCTAATGAATTTCTAAAAGTCAAAACTTATTGCTTTATAAAGACGTTATTAAATGTTTGCAAATTTGTATGTAGATCAAATAAAAATAAATAAAATAATTAAAATAAAAAGGAATTATAATTTTTTTGATACTCTGTGAAAACAGATCTACAATTCAGTGTCAAAGACATACCTAACATTTTTGGTGCTTAAGAATTTACACATTACTATATGCACATTTTAGAAAAATAACATAAATAAAAATTTAAAAAATAAGCAAACCATTCATAATCCCACCACCCAACAATTTCAACTGTTAATATTTTTTTCACATACCTTAAAGACTTATTCCTAGGAATCTTTATACTCACATTTTTAATATATTTTAATGGCTCACCCTTTATCTTGACGTTCTACTTCCAACATATTACCATTTTTTCTTTCTTTGTCAATGAATATACATGTTTCCAAACTAGGGTCCAGAGAGATGGTATCATGTGCTGCACCTATAGTATATATTTCCCACTAATTCAGCTCTAGCTATAAGAAGACAGAGTTTCTGTATAATATTATCAATTTTTACTTAGAATTATTAATATATCTGAAAAATAACTTTCCTTTAAAATGTCTTTAAAAGTATTGCACTCATACTTCTGATCTCAATTTTTTGGGAGGCCAAAAATATTTTTAAAGACATTTATTTCTATTTGGTTTTGGAATAAAACTTGCTTATGATTAAATTCCTAAAACTGAATTACACCTGATTACTAAAATTACAAATTTTACATTATAAGAATTATGAAAATAAGCAGGAGATTACTGCAGTGAATTACCAGAAGCTTGAAAATACCACTCATGTTTACCTGAAGTGGGAGACTTGCATCGCTCAAGTTCCTGGGGAACTGGACTATCATTCAACTCAGTTAAACCTGAAAATAAAATGACAAAAAAATGAGTTAAATTTTGCCAACACTTCATAGATAATTCTTATTTCTTAATTCCAATAAGTTTAAAAAGGTATTTTTTTTCTCCTGTGAAAGCTACTTTTCTATGCTCATGTTATGACAGTTATTCTTAAAATTTGTTTCAAAAAGTGATATAGGGGGGCTGGCCCCATGGCCGAATGGTTAAGTTCGCGCGCTCCGCTGCAGGCGGCCCAGTGTTTCGTTGGTTCGAATCCTGGGCACGGACATGGCACTGCTCATCAAACCACGCTGAGGCAGCGTCCCACATGCCACAACTAGAAGGACCCACAATGAAGAATATACAACTATGTACTGGGGGGCTTTGGGGAGAAAAAGGAAAAAATAAAATCTTTAAAAAAAAGTGATATAGGAAAAAGTAAGAAGCAATAATTAATTGATATACAAAGTGTAATTGAACATGGTGGAAAGACATAAAATTTCTTTTATTTTTTATATGAAATAGCTACTTTAATAAATAACCTAGTTCATCTGAAAATAGACTAATAATAATACAAATGAGAAGGTGTTTTTAAAAAGAGCTAATCAAATCTTCCACTTTCAAGAAAAATGGTTATTGGCTTTTAAAGAGATCTTTATGGAGATGCTACAAATTTTAAATATTACTTGTATATAAAAATGCAGTATTACATAGTACGTACTAAGTGATTTGTTCAATGGTATCAAGTTTCTTCTTATAATCACTACATTTTTCTCTTATTCTAATATTTCTTATTTTCTATTCTGTTTCTTTCCTGACAAAACGAGGATAGACATAATAGATCAATAAACATTTTGTAAGTCTCACTACATCTGCCAGTCTGCATTTCTATGGCATTCATAAAATACCCTTAATTATGATTTTCCTATCCTTCTTTGAGAGTCTCACATACTTTTTCTTTGTCAATAAATATTCAGAGTTTCTACTTTAATGTAAATCTCCCTACCCAGGAAAACTTAAGAGCTGTTGTCAATTACCAAAACCATCTTTCCCACCACCCGCTTCTTTATATAATTTGTACCAGTAAACTTGCTGTAGGTTCAAAAAGTCATAGAATTTTAGAAAAGGTTCGTTGTGATATTCTAGCCCAACCCTTATGTTTTATAGACAAGAAACTTAAGTTCAAAGAGTTTTAAAGTATTCATTTAAGGTTACAGAACTAAGTGCCAATGCTTAAGTAGAATTCTTTATATATTTTGGTTGAGTTTTTTGTCAGAAGTAGGTATGGTGAATATTTTCTTCCAGTATGTGACTTATCTTTTATTTTCTTAATGAAAATGGAGTGTCTTTTGATGAGCAAATTAGTTTACTTGACAATTAATTTTTTATTTCATTGTGATCTTTTTTGGATTCCAGTATAATTAATCATTGCCTACCCATGGTCATGAAGATATTATTCTTAATTTACTTCAAGAAGCACTTTAATTTTTAGCTTTGATTTTTAGGGCTATAATTCATCCTAAGTTAATATTGACTATGGTGCGAGGTAGGGAGTAAAGTCCATTTTCTCCCCCTATATGTTTGCCAAGGTGTTCCACCATTATTTGTTAAAAAAGACTTTCCTGTCTTCATTGATTTTTATCAGTGCCGTAGTCAAAAATAAATTGGCCATATATGTGAGGGTCTATTTCCGGACTATCTATTCTGTGATCATTGGTCTATTTGTCTATCTTGTTTGACTACCACACTATCTAATTAACGTAAGTTTTATAGTACATCTTGAAATCAGGTAGTGAAATCTTTCAACTTTGTTCTTTTCCAAGAGTGTTTTAGTTATTCTAGATTCTTTGCATTTCCATATTAATTTTAGAATCAAATTTCTACAAGAGGATATGCTAGATTCTTATTGTATTGTGATAAATCTATGGATAAATTTGGTAGAATAAACATCTTAAAAACAGTGAGTCTTCCAACTCTTAAACATGGTATTCCTCTCCATTTAAATGATTGTTAGAAAATTTCTGTCTGCACTGTTTTGAAGATTTCAGCATAGAGGTCTTGTACTTGGCATTTTTCAAGTCTTCTATTTCCTTTTTGGTCTTCTGTCTAGTTCTCACATCGTTATCAGAAGTGGAGCATTGGAATTTCCAATAATGATTGTTTAATTGTCTATTTCTCCCTTTTATTCTGTCAGGTATTGCTTCATGTACTTTGTAGCTCTATTGTTAGGTGTATATATAATTGTTTTATCTTCTTGATGGATTGACAATTTTATTATTTTAAATGTCCCTCTTTACTTATAGTAATATTTTTTCTGCTTTGAAATCTATTTTGTCTATATTAGTATAGCTACTCCAGCCTTCTTTTTTTTTTTTTTTTTGAGGAAGATTAGCCCTGAGCTAACTGCTGCCAGTCCTCCTCTTTTTGCTGAGGAAGACTAGCCCTGAGCTAACATCCATGCCCATCTTCCTCTACTTTATATGTGGGACGCCTACCACAGCATGGCATGCCAAGTGGTGCCATGTCTGCATCCAGGATCCAAACCAGCGAACCCCAGGTGGTGAGAAGTGGAACATGCGCACTTAACTGCTGTGCCACCAGCTGGTCCAACTCCAGCTTTCTTACGGTTGCTGTTTGCATGATCATTTTCCATCCTTTTGCTTGCAACCTATTTGTATACTTTTTGTCACCTTAAGACAGCATAGAGTTGGATCTTGATTTTTAAAAAATCTGGTCCAACAATCTCTATCTTTTGATTGGATTGTTTATCCACAATCAATGTTATTATTGATATAGATAGATTGCATCTGTCATTTTACTTTTGGCTTTCTGTGTGTCTCATGTCTTTTTTGTACTTCTAATCCTCCTTCACTGCTTTGTTTGGCATTAAGTAAATATTTTCTAGTGTAACTCTTCAATTTCTTTAATAAATTTTTCACTATATTTTTCCAGTTCTTTGTGGTTGCTCTAAGACTTAACATGTATGTTTTATCAGGATCTACTTCAGATGTATACCGACTTAATTCCAGTGAGATATAGAAATATTACTCTTTTATATCTCTATTTCCTCTTTCTCCTTTATGTTCTATACATCCATATGTGTTACAAACTCAACAATGTATTGTTACAATTATTACTTTATATAATTTTATGCTTTTTATAAAAGATGAGAGAGGAAAGGAAAGCAAACATATATTTATAAAGTTTGTATATTAATATTCTGATTTACCATTTCTGGCTCTCTTCATTTGTTTTGGTAGATCATCTGGTGTCATCTGCTTACTCAAATACAACCCTGTCTCTCACTCACCTCCCTTGTGCTGTTATTGGAAAAAAACATTACATTTTTGCATGTTTAGGCCTAACAATACAATTTTATACATATCGTTTCACAAATTGCTTTTTAAATCAATTAAGAGATTAAGAAATATGCTTTTACACTATTATTTTTAATTACATAATTACCTTAAAAGTATTCTTTTTTCCTTTGTGTAGATTCAAATTACTATCTAGGGTTACTTTCTTTCAGCTTGTAGAACTTCCTTTAGTATTTCTTGTAAGGTGGTTCTGCTGGTAACAAACTCACTCAGTTTTTGTTTACCTGGGAATGTCTTTATTTCACCTACAGTTTTTTGCTGGATATAAGATTCTTGGTTGACAGTTTTTTCCTTTGAGCACCTTGCATGTGTCATCCTAGTAACCTCCATTGTTGCTGATGAGCCATTAATCCTATTGGAGTTCCCTTGTATGTGACAAGTCTTTTTTTTTTTTTTTGGTGAGGAAGATTGTTGCTGAGTTAACATCTGTGCCAATCTTCCTATATTCTGTATGTGGGATTCCTCCACAGGATGTCTTGATGAGCAGTGTGTAGGTCCACACCCAGGATCTGAACTCATGAACCCTGGGCTGCCGAAACAGAGTGTGTGAACTTAACCACTATGCCACTGGGCTGGCACCTGTGGCAAGTCAGTTTTCTCTTAATGCTTTCAAGATTTTCTCAATGTCTTTCAGCATTTTTACTATGATGTGTCTGGGTGCGGATGTCTTTTAATGTATCCTTCTTGGAGTTCTTTGAGCTTCTTCGACATGTACATTAATGTTTTTCATCAAATTTTGGAAGTTTTCAGCCATTATCTCTTCAAATATTTTTCTGCTTCTTTGCCTCTCTTCCCTCCTCCTCCTCCTCTTGTTATGGACATGTTGGTACACTTAAGGTATCCCACACTTCTCTGAAGCTTTGTTAATTTTTCTCTCTCTTCTTCAGAATGCATAGTCTCTGTCAACATACATTCAAGTTTGCCAGTTCTTATTCCTGCCTGTTCAAATCTACTGTTGAGTCTCTCTAGCGATTTTTTTCTTTTCACTTATTGTACTTTTCAACACAAGAATTTCCAGTTGGTTCTTTTTTTCTCTTGATCCCCTTCACCCATTTCATCCATCCTCCACCCTGTGCCTCTGGCAACCAACAATGTGTTCTCTGTATCTATGAGCTCTTTGTTATTGTTGTTATTTATTTGTCTTTAGATTCTACATGTAAGAGATATTATATGGGATTTGTCTTTCTCTGTCTGACTTACTTCACTTGGCATAATACTCTCGAGGTCTATCCATGTTGTTGCAAATGGCAAGATTTCCTTCTTTTTTATGGCTGAATAATATTCTGTTGTATATATACACATTTGCTTTATCCATTCATTCATTGAAGGACATGTAGGTTGTTTCCATATCTAGGCTATTGTAAATTATGCTGCAATGAACATGGGGGGGGGTGCATATATCTTTTTGAGTTGCTGTATTGATTTCTTTTGGATAAATACTCAGAAGTGGAATAGCTGGATCATATGGTAGTTCCATTTTTAATGTTTTGAAGGAAGCTCCATGCTGTTTTCCATAAGGGCTGCACCAATTTACATTCCCAACAACAGTGCATAAGAGTTCCCTTTTCTCCATATCCAACACTTATTATTTCTTGTCTTTTTAATAATAGCTATTCTAACAGGTGTGAGGTGATATCTCATTGTGGTTT